TATGTTCATGTAACAGGCAGGAAAAACAGAGAAACTAAAAACAGAGAAGAAACAGAACAAAAGTGACTTAGTATATCAATGATAATAAATGTAAATGGTCTAAATACATGAATTAAAATACAGAGATTTACAGTGTATATTTTTAAAAATGACCTAACTGTACTGACAGTCCCCAGATTACAATAATTGAACTTGGATGATTTTTCAACTTAACGATGAGTTTATTGCGATATAACTCCGTTGTAAGTCAGGGTGCTCCTTATGACATAGTGTGGTTATGGTTTCTATTGAATGCATGTCACTTTATACCATTGTAAAGTTGAAAAGTTGTAACTTGAACCATCATAAGTCAGGGTCCATATGCTGTGTTGCCAGCATAAACTGCATTTTTCACATATGTTTTTCACTTTTCATGAGTTTATTGGTATGTAATTGCATCATAAGTCAAGGGGTAACTGTATGATGTCTGTAGGAAACTCCAAGTATAACCGTATAGGCAGTTTGTAAATAAAAGGATATAAAAAGATACATCATGGAATCATTAATTAAAAGCAGGAGTGGCAGTATTAATATCAGATAGAGCAGACTTCAGGGCAAAGGAACATAACAAAGAAAAATACCAGATTTAGGCCGTGCACGGTGGCTCACGCCTGTAATCCCAGCACTTTGGGAGGCCGAGGCAGGCGGATCACAAGGTCAGGAGATGGAGACCACGGTGAAACCCCGTCTCTACTGAAAATACAAAAAATTAGCTGGGCACGGTGGCAGGCGCCTGTAGTCCCAGCTACTCAGGAGACTGAGGCAGAAGAATGGCGTGAACCCGGGAGGCGGAGCTTGCAGTGAGCCGAGATCGCGCCACTGCACTCCAGCCTGGGGGACAGAGCGAGACTCCGTCTCAAAAAAAAAAAAAAAAAAAGAAAAGAAAAATACCAGATTTGTATAGAAAGAGATTATATAATGACAAAAGAGGTCAACCCAGCAAGAAGACACAGGAATACTAAATGTAAATGTATGTGCACCAGAGGTGCAAAATGTTTGAAGCAAAAATTGATAGAACTAAAAGGAGAAATAGACAAATCTATAATTATAGTTGGTGACTTCATACCCCTCTCTTAACAAGTGATAGAACAATTAAAAATCAGCAAGGATAAATAATAATGCAATAACACCATCAACCATTAGAACCTAAATATTTCATTTATAAAACATGCCACCCAAGGAGAACACCCGGACATATTCTTTTGATGTATTCACTGAATGTATATAAATGCTTACTGAACATATGCAAGATAGACCATATCCTGGGCTATAAAATAAACCCCAACAAACTTACACAACTTGAAATCATAACAAGTGAGTTTTCTGACCACAGTAGAATCAAACTAGAAATTAATAACAGAAAATAACAGGGAAATCTTCAAACACTTGGAAATGAAATGACATACTTAAAAAAAATTTATGGGTCAAGGAAGAAATTTCAAAGAAAAACATTTCAGTGAGATTACATTTCAAAAAATACATTGGATGAAAATGCAGCATATCAAAAATTTTAGGGCACAGCTAAAGCAGTGCCAAGAAAAATCTGTAGCACTAAATACATGTGTTAGAAATGAGAAAACAAGTCAGTAATGTAAGCTCCCATCTCAAGAACCTGTAAAAAGAGCATCAAAAAATAAATAAATAAAGCAAGCAGAAGAAGGGAAATAATAAACATAGCAGAAATTGAAAACAGAAATAATAGAGAAAATCAGTGAAACAAAGAGCTAGTTCTTTGAAAAGATAATAAAAGTGACCAGTTTTTAGCAAGACTAACAAAAAAGATGGAAGATACAAATTTTACCTATCTCAGGAATGAGAGTATCACTCATGACCTTGCAGACATTAGAAGGGAAATGAGAATCCTTTGAACAACTCTACTGTAATAAATTTGACAATGCAGGTGAAACAGATCAATTTCTTAAAAGGCACAAACTACCACAACTCATTTAATGTGAAATCTGCAGTTTGTATAGCGCTATTACTGTTAGGGAAATTGAACTTGTAATTTTAAAACTCCCAAAATGAATAGTTAACTAGAGAATTTTACCAGGTGTTTAAAGAATTAGTACCAATTCTACATAATGTCTTCCCCAAAAATGGAAGAGGAATGTTACCAATAGGGGAATCTTGGTTAAAGGATATACAGGATCCCTCTATATTAATCCTTATAATAATTCTTGGTGAACCTACCATTATCTGAAAAAGTTTAATTTTAAAAGAAGTAACTGGAGAAAGAAAAGACATCTTATACAGAGGAACAAAGAATGACAACGGACTTATTTTTACGAGTAGTACTAGCCAGAAGACAGTAAAGCAATATCTTTAAAATATTGAAAAAAAAAAAAAAAGAAAAAGAAACCTAGGCACTTTGATTCCAGAGCCTTTTCTCTTACCCATATCCCTATCTTGTATCGTAAAGGTAATAAAAACAAGGAAGGATGGAGTAATTAGATAACACTACCTTTCCCTCTTGTGTGCCTTGGGGAATTGAAGTGCTATCATTTTTTGAAAAGGAAATCAGTCACTATTCCTAGTCCTATTGTTTCTGTTTAGTTTCCTTTACTTCAATAACTTTTAAAAAAGTAATATCAGTTAGCACATTGTCTTATCTGTCAAGCAGGTTTATATTTAGAATAGAATACAGTAAATGTAGAGGTAACTGCAATACAGGTGGATTTAGATAAAGTTCATAAAAGAGAAATTTAAACAAAGCGCTTTGGAAATTTAGAGGAAAGATTGAGAGCACAAGAAATTGAGGACATCAAGGAAGATGACATGTGAGTCTGATTGAAAATGGCAGAAAAGGGAAGAGCTGAGGCTTTATCCAAGATCTGTGCCGAATGTCTGGGACATGAGTAGTGTTATGGCAATGATTGTAATAAGCTCTGCATCAGCAGAGATTTTGTGTTTGTTTGCTTATCTGCTGGGTTGTGTCCTTACTACCTAAAACAGTGTTGGGTACTTAGTAAGTACTCAGTAAATATTTGTTGCATGAATAAATACATGAATAGTAAAATTAGATGGCAGTTTTGATAAGAATGATTTGATACGTCTGGTTTAGGAGTTATAAACATGGAATCTAATTCTCAGCCATTAGCTAGCTGTCATCCAGTCTCATAGCTTCAACTATGACTTCGGCCATCACACAGATGCCTCTGAAAACGTGGAAAGGAAGCAATAATATAAGAAGTATATAGGTCAAGAACATTGTGAACTGTGTGACCCTATGTGTAAAATGGGAACTACAAGAGAAATTATTAATATTGATTTTACATGTGGAGCACTTAGCTCAGTATTTGATCCATATTAAGTACTCAGTAAAGGGCACCATTGTCTGAAACTGAGTTACACATTGACTCCTGACCTTAGATGAGCCATCACACCTGTAATATAGCACATTAAAACCATATTAAGTTACTTCATGTAAAAGGTAAACAGGATCTTAACGATCAGCTAGCCCAAGTTCTTCATTTAAACTGAGGACAGAATACAGTGGATAAAAAGGTAATCTTGGGACCTAACCAGGAAGTAATAGTTATTTGTAAAGCGTGGGAGGAAAAATAGGAGAGAAACACTAATTAGTTGGGCTTTGAGGGCTTAACTCTAAATACCACAGCTGCCTTCAAGGATGAATTTTATTCTCTGGAAAACAATATTTGTCTGCTGGATAGCTCTACCTATATTTCTCATTGGCATTTAAATTCAGCATGTCCAGAAACAAATTGGAATCACTATGTGTTAAAACTAAAAAGGTTGTTAGAGTGCATCTAATTCAGTTTCCCATTTTACAGGTGTGGAGAACAGATCCTGCTCTGGGGTGGAGGTCTTAAACTTTTTAGATTCATTGATAGTGCTGTGATCAAACAGTTGTTCCTTGGACCACTTTTGCCTAGGTTGTGGAGCATTTCTTTAGGTTTTTTTTTTTTTTTTTTTTTGCAAGGGGAGCTTACAGTGAGCCTTTGATGTTCATCCTGGCTGTAAACAACCTCTGTCTTGTTTTGAGCAGCAGTTTTCAACTTTTTAAAAAACAAAAAAACCCAGCTGAATCTTTTACTTAAGTTGAATCATATGAAGAAACCCCAAAAAGAGACTAAAAATAGAAGCTTATGGTTAATGCCAGAGATTTGGTGGGGGTGGTGGTAGGGGATAGATAGTTGGGGAGATCAGGAAAGGGAAAGAATGAGTTATAGACCGTAGTTGCTTGCCACTGGTCTCCAGAGGTGAGGAGCTTCTGAAATGCCTTGGAGGTTAGGAAACAGTTTGAAACCCACTGATTTGGAGGCCCACGAAGTCCAGCAGTGATAATTGGCATGAATGACAAGACCACTGGTGTCTCTGCTCTGCAAGTTCCCCAGTGACTTTAACACTTGCCCTGGAGTAATGATTTTTCAATTCTTTCTTGAATCTAAGGGCTAAGAACTAGGCCATCATTACAATTAGGACTTTAATAAACTCTCAGCTATCATTTAAAAACTCTCATCAATCACATTTGCTTTTATGTACACAGACAGGCAGTTTTTGTGTGAATTAAGTTGCCCTGACGTAGATAATTTTATTAGTATAGACATAGCTCAAGAATTACAGTCATGTGAGGAAAAGCTTAGGAGTAGTCAGAGTTTTGGTCATGAACCCCTATAATGTTATGATGAATTTTAAAATACTTGATGTATTTTTAATAATTATTTTTATAGTATTATAATTTTAAATTTTAGTCAGCAACTGATTAAGCCCTGTGCTAGACACCACGTGGAAATAGAGGGAAAACAGGACACAGTCCTTGAACTCAAATTTGAGTCTCACTAAGAACAGAAAGAAGGTGATACTTAAAAATTTTTCCTTTGTACTTTGTTTCAGCACCCGAGCTTTGATTTTGTGCAATTTTTAATTTTACTGATTTGTAAAGCATGTTCATGACTGAAAATTTAATTAACTTTGTATGCTTTCTTTAAAATTATTCTTAGATTGCAAGACTGGAGGAAGATAAAGAAGAACTACGTAACCAGCTGCTTAATGTTGATCTCACAAGAGACAGCAAACGAGTGGAACAACTTGCTCGAGAAAAAGTCTATTTGTGTCAAAAATTAAAAGGGTTAGAGGCTGAAGTAGCGGAATTAAGGGCTGAAAAGGAGAATTCTGACGCTCAGGTGGAAAATGCCCAAAGAATACAGGTGCGGCAGTTGGCTGAGATGCAGGCTACAGTCAGATCCCTGGAGGTAAGATTCTGATTACTTCCCAGTAGAGTATGGCATACTTTTTTAAAGTGCAATTGACAAACCTTTGATTTTTAGAGCATAAATGTATGCTCTCCAAGCTAATGCTGACGCATTTGTGTAATCCCAAGAGTATTTATTCTTTTAGTAAAGAAGAAAGCTATTGATTCATAAGCAATACGTATGCTACCACATTTATAAAGGGATATTTATTCTGTGGGAGTTAAGTCACCTATCTGAAATGTCTTAACTCTTAAAATGCCACATAATAGAATATGCAAAATAAAAATGTATGTATTTGAGTTTCTGAAAGTAAAGTCATCTCAAACCAGAAAGAATAATTTCTTTCAAGATAGTACATTCCTTACACTGGGATTTGAGATCTTAAAGTCACAAATCCTGCTTGAACAGAAATACTATACTGATATATCTTATGATAGCTTCTTCCCAGACTAGTAAAATCCAACTGTAAAGGTATACATGCCTTTGCAGAATTATTTCCCTGGATTAATTAGAGAAAGATAAGTGTTGGCAGACCTGACTGGTACTCCTAGGGGTATTGCCTTATGAAAATTCTTGGTTTCCATTTTATTCAGACATACTTATTCTTCTTAGTTCTTAGTGCCTAACTTGTAGCAAACATACCTGTTTAATTGTTTTTATTTTTTACAATTCAAAGTGTTTCTTTTTCCTTTGGAATAGTTATAAAATGATTTGGGTGGGGGGGGGGCATTAGCGGGCATTTAATTTGTAGTTAAAATCCATATCCAAATCCAAGATGGTGATTTTTTTTCCCCCAGCCAGTGATAAAGGAATACATTGGTATGTTTTGAAGAGTAGAAGTCACTTTTTTATTTTGTTGCATGACGCTAGGTCAGTATTTACTGGTTTTCTGAATTAAAAGTTGTCAGTATCATTGTACCTTAAACATGAAGCAGTTCATTGTGAGACTGTTTATGTTGCCATCCTTCCATCCTTATGTATTTTACACAGTGACAGAATAAGTGAGACGATTGCAGTTGAATATAGCATACAGTTCTGATGGGAAACTTTCCATTGAGGTCCTTTAGAGTGATTATTTTCAGGGCAAGTTGAATGATGACAAAAGATTTGTGACATTTTCATAAGAGCCTATATTTTTATCATTTGTCAGATGAAATGAAAATAAGCATATGACAGCAAGCATTTCTTTCTTCTTTAACTTTCTTGGCTATCATTGTGCCCAGAGAGTATTATTTCATATATGAAGAAAATAGGTTTTTTCCCTAATTATTTGTCGAATATAGTCCTTACATATTTAAGATAGATGTTCCCCAACTTAAGGTGGTTTAACTTATGATTTTTTGACTATACAATGGTGTGAAAGCCATATATGTATTTATGTACTTTGAATTTTGATCTTTTCCTGGGTTACTGATATGTGGTATGATACTCTCAATGCTGTGTAGCTGCACTGAGCCACAGTTCCCAGTCAGTCACATGATCATGAGGGTAAATAACCTCTTTACTGAGTACTGTGTTGCCAGATGATTTTTTCCAACTGTAGGCTAATTCACGTGTTTTGAGGATGCTTAAGGTAGGCAGTCTAAGTTATGGACTTAGATATTTTCAATTTGTGATGGGTTTATCAGGATGTAACCTCATCATAAGTTGAAGAGCATCTATATGTACGAAATGAGATATTATGAAACTGAAGGGTATCCTTTAAATGTCGAAACGTTTTCATTTTGATTATGTTGAGGTCGGGTATGGTGGCTTATGCCTGTAATCCCAGCACTTTGGGAGGCTGAGGTAAATGGGTCACCTGAGCTCAGGAGTTTGAAATGAGCCTGAACAACACGGGTAAAATCCTGTCTCTACAAAAAATACAAAAATTAGCCAGGCGCCATGGTGTGCACCTGAAGTCCCAGCTACTCGGGAGGCTGAGGCAGGAGAATTGTTTGTGCTTGGGAGTCTGAGGTTGCAATGAGCCAAGATCGTGCCATTGCACTCCAGCCTGGGAGACAGAGCAAGACCTTGTCTGAAAAAAATATGTGTGTGTGTGTGTATATGTGTGTGTGTGTGTATATATATGTGTATATATGTGTGTATATATATATAATGTTGAGTAGACATGTTTTTTAAAAAAGGTTTTAGTTCCCCTCCCCTCGTGAAAGAGTACTATCAATATTACCAACCAGAAACTTTTTTTGACAACCTACAGACTTCATTAACAATCTTAATTGTGTCATGAGATCAGGAGCCTCTTTGTTCACACTTAAGAAGTCTACAGATTAGCTGAGGATTTTGAAATAATATATTTCCCTATTTCTTTTTTGAAAATCATTGATTTTAGATTTTCAATTTGTACTTGTTACTATCAATGAGCCCTGTCTTCTACTTTCTAATACGCTTTTTCCTATCTGTTGTAGACTGGAAACTTCCAAAAATGTTTGAAATAAGTCAGTGTTAAAAATAAATAGACATCAAATGAATGCCTTAGGTAGTTTCTCTCATGAGAGAAGTATATAAACATTATTTTGTTGGTGGTCATTCATATGTTGTTTGTCTAGATACCTTTGTTGCATATTTCCTGAAACACTATCTTTCATTCGAATTCTACCAATTAGTTTGAGAAAATGTTTGTTACATTGGTATATGTTAATGTTGAGGTTTTGAATAATTTTTGTATAATTGTAAATGTATTTTAAATAGTGCTTGTTTGATTTGAAATACTTGAAAAATAAATGAATTTTAAAATATTTTGTTTGAATGAAAGGCTGAAAAACAATCAGCTAATTTACGGGCAGAACGCTTGGAAAAAGAGCTACAATCAAGCAGTGAACAAAATACCTTTTTAATTAATAAATTGCATAAAGCTGAACGAGAAGTAAATACATTGTCCAGTAAAGTAAGTTGTTTTATGTTTTTGTTTCATTCTTTAGAATGTTTGTTACTATATAATGATAAATTTTATTTTTAATAATTCATTTCTTTATACTGAAATGTTTTATTGTATCATTCTACCTTCCAAGAAATAAATACATTGATCAGTAGAGTGTGTTATCTTATGCCTCTACCTCATTCTGTAGAATACTTGATACTGTACAATGACGAATTTTGCATTCTCTGTATTGAAGTATTTTTAATCCTATCACTCTGCCTTCCAAATACATGCAGAATCTGATCAGTTCTTACCACATCCACTGTGACCTTTCTAGTCCAAGCCATGATTTTTTTAGGCTCAATTTCTGTGCCAGGTTGCTTACTGGTCTTTCTGCTTTCTACCCATTCAGAGCTCTGTGTGATCTGGAGTCTTTTCACAGCCATGACCATGTATTTTTCCTCCTGTTCACTTTGCTCCCTTTGGCCTTGTCACTCTTTGAGCAAACTCACGTCTTGCTCAGAGTTTCTGCACTTGTCTGACCTTGACTCAGTCTTCCCTCACATATCCACATAACTTGCTTCCTCACCCCCTAGATGTTGCCTAACCAGAGAGGCTTTCCTTGTCTTCACATTGTAAAATAGCATCTTCCTTCTTCCTCTGTCTTTCTATCTTCCTTACCTGCTTCATAGCTCTTAATACTATCTGATATAGTTATTTGGTTTTTATGTTTTGGTCTCTCCTTTTCTTTCCCACCACCTTACTTTCAACCCAATATAAGCTCCAAGAGAGCAGGGACATTGTTTTCATCACTACTACTTTTCCAGCTTCTAGAACAGTGCCGGCACATAGTAGGTACTCAGTAAATATTTCTTCAATGAATAAATTAGTAGTAGCAGCATGTTCTACATTTATATTCTCCTTAACAGACTGGATTCAAATTCTGGTTTTTCCGTTACTAAAAAAAGCTGTGTGACCTTGGGCAGTTCACCATCTCTCTGAAACTTAAGTGAAACTTAAGCCTATGAAATGGGACTAATACCTACTTTATAGAGTTGTGGCAAAAATTAAATGTAGCTGATGATGAAAATGATAAGAGCAGTGATTATACACTGTAATATCCTTAAATAAGAAAATATTGTAACATAAATAATACAGAATTTTTAGTCCATTGACTAGTCTGTATCTCACTGTCTCAATAACTGTGTATAACCTTAGGCAAGTTTACCTAATATCATTAGGATCCAATTTCCTTATATCTGTAAGAACTCTTCCAGCCTACTAAGACTGTGTTAAGAACTACTAGGAAATAATTTGATTGCCTCCTGATTAACTATAAGTAGATTATATATTCAACAGATACACATTGAACGCTTTTAACTATAGAGTATACAAAAAAATAGATATAAAACACAAGTAAATTCAGGATAATAGGGAGTTTCCATGCTTTTCTTCCAATTCCAGTATAAATTATTTTTAGTTTTGTAAAATAATATTGAATACCTAGTATTGCAGCACATCGTTCTTGACCTGAGTAGCCAGACTACACTGCTGGAATAATTGGAACCACACATGTCGCAACAGGACATGGGATATGCTGGCTTGTGCAGTGGCTTCTCTCTTGGGGGGTCACCAAGTATAATACTTTTCATGCAGTACATTTTACCTGAGCTCTCTGGCTCACCTTTGTTCTTACCCTGATTTTCCTTCTTTTTTTCCGTATATATACTCTTCCCTGTTGCTCTTTCCTTTTAGAGTTAGAGCATAGGTGATTTCTCCTACTCTGCTGGAGAAAAAACAGCAATCTAGTATAGTATTTATTTCTTTGTGCTTATTAATACACGTTGCTAAGAGTTGCCTGTCTTTTTAAAGGCACACTTGCATTATTTTGCATGTAAATGGAGTATTAAATACCATCCTTTAACTTTAAACAAACTAAGTTTCATTTGAAGTCTTGCATGTAAAGATTCCTTTGGAAGGGTAAATTTTAAAATAATATTTCAAACATGACTGCCACAGTTTTCTTTGCAACTTGAAATTTTCATAAACATTTTGCAATTCTAGCAAATGGTTGTTTGCGGTGCAAAGGAACACCTGGGGTGTGTTGTCTAAGTTATTCAAATTCATAAATGTTTGTCAGATTTTAGAACAAAGTTAGTCAGTGTGAGTATCAGTGTCTTAGATTAAAAGGTGTTACTAAAGATGGCCTGAAAACGATGACCTTAAGGAGATTTCACATTCAGCGAGGTAAATTCTTCTAGTTCCCTCATAACGTTTTTCATTTTCAGAATGCCAATAAAAGATAGTTTTAAGGAAGCCACTCAACAGAGTTGTCTTTATTTACCTAAATTAATGAGGTAATTACGTCTCAGAACTTTGAAAACGATCAGAATTTGAGTACCGTCTCTTTGGAATCTGTATCCAGGGCTTCTTAGGTAATACATATTGTCAATTATATTTCCGTTTCTTGCTTGTTTATACTGTGCTCTTGTGTGTCTTTCTGTGAGTATGTGTACTTTAACAGATCCTGACCCCCTGTAAAATGCCCAGTATTGCCAGTTTTGACATTTATTAAAGTTTTGTTAGTAATATCTGAATACTTCCATTGTGTGAAAAACATAAAGCAAATTCACAACATAAAGGCCAGAATCTATATGGCAGACATTCTGTGAAGAACAGGGTGACTTGATCCAGTGGAGCTTCAGGAGACCATGAATTACTTGAAATTTTATGCAACATTTTAACATGAGCATTTTATTTTTTAAAAATCCCTAATTTTCCTAGGATTTGGGACTTGATCACAAAGAAGATTAAGAACCAGGGATCTAGGGGCAGAAAGAAACCTTATTGTAACATTTGGAATTTGGTTCAGATTACTCATAGAAAGGTGCTATTATTGTCATTACTGGGTAATAAATTTTCATACGTTATTTTAAGTAAAATTCCTTTTAGTATATTTTTAGGAAATTAACAATGTTCATATAAGTGCATCGGTGATGTTAGGATGATACGAATAAGGCAATAAAGAAAAGCTTAAGATCCATAGATGAGTAAATTTGAATGCAGAGAGGACAGGTACATTGCTTGAGCATATACCACTGGTTTAACAGCAAAAGTAGGCCTGAAGACAGACCTCACTTGTTGCTTGACTTCCTATTCGGTGTTCTTTCAGTTTCAATAATTATAGTTTGGTTAAAAATGTCTTCTCATTTCAGTAAATCTTAGGGTGAAATGAAAAAGAAGTTTTTGTAGATCTTGAAGTTACCATGAGATGAATCAACTTCCTATGAAATAAGATGGCTCTAATTTTCCACCTTATGCAGCTATAGTATGTTTGTTAATGAAATGCTGTGTCGTTCTTACCCATTTACAGTTAGTGTGTAATAGCAGGTTATAATTACGTTTGTCATAGTGATTGGATTTTCTTTGTAATTGTATTTCTTCAAAATTTTAAAGTATTTGTAACTTAAATTCTATCTGTCCATGAAATTATAATGTAGTAAAACCCAATCTACGGAAAGTTTAAGTATTAAATTCTCAGCTGCTTTCATGTAAACATCATTTTATAAAACTTACTTTTGTAGAAAAGAACTTCCAAAAGGAAATTAAAAATGCAGGCTGGGCGTGGTGGCTTGTGCCTGTAATCCCAGCACTTTGGAAGGCCAAGGCGGGTGGATCATGAGGTCAGGAGTTCAAGACCAGCCTGGCCAAGATGGTGAAACCCCATCTCTACTAAAAATACAAAATTTAGCCAGGTGTGGTGGTGCATGCCTGTAATCCCAGCTACTCGGGAGGCTGAGGCAGGAGAATCGCTTGAACCCCGGAGACAGAGGTTGCCGTAAGCTGAGATCAAGCCACTGCACTCCAGCCTGGGCGACAGAGCGAGACTCTGTCTCAAAAAATAAATAAATAAAAATGCAAAACTGATGTCAGCACAAGGTTGCCATTTTATGAACGGTCATTTAAAAATCTACGAGTTAATTTGGAGGGATGTCTTATTGTAGTTACCAGTACGAAGGCAGTACTCACTTTTCTGTTTATTTCCTTTAAATGAAGATTTTGCATGAAACTATCCCTTGAAACATTTTCAGGACCTTTTGTTGATGGAGTCTCTTCCAGTAAGACACTTCTATTTCTCTTCCTTGCCCTCTTTGGCTCTAGGACCTCTTTTTGATTTGTGTCTGACTCTCAACTCCAGTTTTTATGGGTTTTTTATTGGACTCTTAAGTAAATTGTCTTTTACTTTCCTGTTTCTGCCATCTCACATTTTCTGTATTTGACTTGTATATATTTGTAGTTTCCTACTCTGATTCCATGGTTTTCTATATTTGGGTAATATATCAGAAAACGGGTCATCTAATCTTTATGTTTGTATTGATTAAATCCTTATTATATGACTATATCTAATTTTAGAAGCTCCTTACCAAAGAGAAGGGCTATGGAAAATGAATTTATATGATTTATTCTTGTTCCTGCCTCTATCCCCTACCTCATACTTGTGCACATGCGCACACAGACACAATCTATACACATAGACTATTTTGTCACCAGATTCAATTGATTCTTCATTCCCCCCCTTTATTCATTCTTTGCCTCTTAATTGATTTATTTACCTTCAGTTTCTTAAGCCAACAGATTTGCATTAATTAATTGTGCCACCTTCAACAGCTAACCGAAAAACAACCCTTTCGTATGGTAAAGTTTATTCCCTGCCATTCCTCCACAGATTTCACATCTGCTGGTGCTCTCCATGTAATACATAGCTTGTTTTAAGGGCAGACCATGTCATGTTATACACATAATAACATTTTATATGCTGTTCCTTCTACCTAGAGTACCTTCTTTGTCCCTAACACATTTTTTATTCTTAAATTTAATTTTAATTTTTTTAGAGACAGGGTCTCACTCTGTTGCCCAGGCTGGAGTACATTGGCACAATCATAGTTCACTGCAGCCTCAAACCCCTAAACTCAAGTGATCCTCTTAGTCTCCCCAATGGCTGAGACTAAGGGGCTAATTTAAAATTATTATTATTATTATTATTTTAAGAGAAAGGATCTCACTATGTTGCCCAGAGTGGTCTCCAACACCAGGCCTGGGACACTTCCTTCTGCCACAGCCTTTTGAGTAGCTGGGATTTTAGGTGCAAGTTACTGTGTCCAGCTCTGGACACTTTTTAAAAGGAAGGTTTCAGGCCAAGTGCAGTGGATTACACCTATAATCCTAGCACTTTAGGAGGCCAAGGCAGGAGGATTGCTTGAGGCCAGGAGTTTGAGACCAGCCTGGTCAACATAGCAAGAGCCCATCGCTACAAAAAAATTGAAAAATTATCTGAGTGTGGTGGTGTGCACCTGTAGTCTTGACAGCTACTTGGAATGCTGAGGAGAGAGGATCACTTGAGCCCAGGAGTTTGAAGTGAAAGTGAGCTATGACTGTGCCACTGCACTCCAGCCTGGATGACATAGTGAGACCCTGTCTTTTAGAAATATTAACAAATTTAAAAAGTTTCAGAATTTTTTCCCTGCAGATTTTCCAATCATCAAGTATTTGATTTTAGATACTTGTAATTAAGTCTTTAAGGCAAGATTAAGCCAGAGGACCATACATAGATATTCGTAAGGAAATGCCTCAGTTCTGTTAGGAAAGAACAGTGTTTTCTTGGTGTCTCCTTATTTGAAGTACTATTGCAGGCACTGACACTCCTTTCTTCTTGAAAGGTACTTAGACTCTACTTTACTATCAAAGCGTTTTCTCGTTTCCACTTATGTTTTAGGGTAAGTATTGAATGACAAGAAAATGACGAATAGTAATTTCAATTTTTAATTATCAACAGGTGAAAGAACTTAAACATTCAAACAAACTGGAAATAACAGACATCAAACTGGAGACAGCAAGGGCTAAGAGTGAGCTAGAAAGAGAAAGGAATAAGATTCAAAGTGAACTGGATGGTAATGTGTGATTTTCCTTGCTGCTGCTGCTGCTTATTTTCAGATATGAACTCAAATTATTAAAATAGTTGAACATGAATTTTTATTTCCAGATTTTCAACTTAGTTTAGTTTTAATTTTGGAGTACATATGAAATGTTTATTATATGTTGAGTGTTTTGTTCATTGTAAGACTTAATAACTTTTAAAAAATCAGTCTTATGTTTTTATCATAGTTTTTGGATACATAAATGAACTTTGTAAATGGGATGCCATACTTCGTGATTTATAAATCTTAAATCTATTTATTGTGTAGTTTATTAGTCCCAGGACATTTTAAGTCTAGAGAATGTGAAGAAGATAATTGGGTTCCAGGCTTAATTTTTTTCAATTAAAAAAATTTTTTTTATGTAGACCCTAGGCCAGTCATTGTAGCCTAGTGTAGAGTAGGCTTATTTTTTTTATTTTTTATTTATTTATTTATTTTTGAGACGGAGTCTTGCTGTGTCCCTCTGGCTGGAGTGCGGTGACGTGATCTCGGCTCACTGCAAACTTCACCTCCCAGGTTCATGCCATTCTCCTGCCTCAGCCTCCCGAATAGCTGGGACTACAGGTGCCCACCACCAGGCTGGCTAATTTTTTGTATTTTTAGTAGTGACAGCGTTTCACTGTGTTAGCCAGGATGGTCTCGATCTCCTGACTTCGTGATCTGCCTGCCTCGGCCTCCCAAAGTACTGGGATTACAGGTGTGAGCCGTGCACCCGGCCAAGTAGGCTTATTTTTAAGTTCCAGTTTAATCTTAGAACATCCATCTCATCAGGTTTCTTCATTATTTATGTTGTTTCTAACTTGAAGTATTTAAATAAGCTTACATTTGGCCTGTAGCTATCCTTGAGTTGATCTGTAGTTGAACTCATTTCAGACAGAGTTTATGATGAATGCCTTTCATGTTTTGAAACGGGATCTCACCTTGTTGCCCAGGCTAGCTTTGAATTCCTTGGCTCAAATGATCCTCCCACCTAAGCCTCCTCAGTAACTGGGACCACAGGTGCTAACACCGTGTCTGTATGCTGTGAATGATTTTTTCCAATTATTGATTTCTATTTATTTGGCTCATGGATTTCCATAGAGTTAGGGAGTAAATTTTTTTAGGAACTTAAAGGATGCTGCATTTTGTTTTTACTTTGAGTTAGATGTGAGTTTGCTTTAATTATTCCATCTGCAAAGTATTTGCCATTTCATCACAAAGATTTCTGAATTCATTATACAAACTTGAAAGTGTCCGTGTTATTTATACTTCTGCTAGAAATCTAGCAGTTCTGCTAGAATCAACAGGTTTTGAAGGGTTTTGTGATTTATTTCACTCTGCTATCGGCCAGCTTTGTCTATGATGCTGTCTTAGAGGCTTAGGTCACAGAACCCCTTTAGAAGTGAAGAAAGTAAACCTCTGGTTTATCATCCAGGTTGTTCTCAACTTTCAGTGTTCGAATGAGTAAATGTATATAACCTTTTATTAAAGTTTTTATATGTGTATGCACTAAATAAACAGTGACAGGAAAATTTGCTCTGAGTTTTATCCTGTTTCATTCTCTATTTTAAGAGAGTTTATTAATGATGTGAGTATTATTGAGAATATATATTCATAGAGACTTTCTACATTCTTTTAGTTGTCTTACCAGCTTATGAATGCTTGCTGTTAAGTGTGACTTTTCATCTTAGTAACATTGAATATAGTACATTTTTCTCCTTAAAAAACACTAGGATTACAGTCAGACAATGAAATTCTCAAAGCGGCTGTTGAACACCACAAAGTGCTCTTAGTAGAAAAGGATCGTGAATTAATACGTAAAGTACAAGCTGCCAAAGAAGAAGGTTATCAAAAACTTGTGGTATTACAAGATGAAAAGTAAGTACTTAATTACCTTAGTTTGACTTAAATATCCTTGCAAATGAAAACATTTTGCTGTTATATCATCTTTATTATAGTTCTTGTAGCATAATTATGATCTCTTGTTTTAGGTTAGAACTCGAGAACAGATTAGCAGATTTGGAGAAAATGAAAGTAGAACATGATGTCTGGAGGCAATCTGAAAAGGATCAGTATGAGGAGAAATTGCGGGCTTCACAGATGGCAGAAGAGATCACCAGGAAGGAGCTTCAGAGTGTTAGGTGATATATACATATATATTTAAAGTTTTTCATGTTGAAATAATGTCGGAGTTAACAAAATGATGTACAAGTAGTACAAAGAATTCCCATGTGCCCTTCACCCTTATCTCCCAAATACGGATACCTTATGTAACCATATTATAATAACCAAGATTAAGAAATTAATATGAATATGATCAGGAAATCAGACATTACTATTATAAAATCTATTAACTGTACTCAAATTTTACCAGTTGTCCCATTGATGTCTTTTTTCTGGTCTAAAACCCAATCCAGGATCACACATTGCATTTAGTTACTTTTAATATGGAACATATGAACACTTTGACAAATACTTATCAGTATTTTGTATATCTTCTCTTAATTTGGTTTTGTATTGCATTTTTCATGGTTAAATTCAGGTTAGGCATTTTTAGGAAAACATCAAAGTCATGTGTCCTCAGTGCATCATGTTAGGAAGTTCATGATTTGGCCCCTTAACTGGTGATTTTAACTTTGATCACTTGGTTAAGGTGCCATCTGCCATGTTTTTCCTGTATAAAATTACTATTTTTTTCCCTTTGTAATATATAATTATCTTGTGGTTGCCCATATGATATTTCAAGTCTATGTAAATATTCTCATATTTTGCCTTTATATATTCTTCCATTAATTTTAGTATCCATCGATAATTGTTATCTGAAACAGTTATAATTCTAGCGTTTGCCAAATGTGATCTTTCCATTTCTGTGATCCTTCCACATTTATTAGTTGAAATTCTCCTGAAAGGAAGAGCTTTCCATTCTCCTCTAGATATATTTATTATCACTATGGATTTATACATTCATATTTTTTCTATAGATTATAATATTTTGTTATAATATTTTGTGTTGCTCAACTTCTCTCAGATTTGACTATTGGAAGATCTTTCAAGTTGAATCCCATGTCCTTTTGACATAATCCCACGATTTATTGTGACTTTTTTCTATCATTACAGGATGTTCTATGATTCTCTTTCACTTTCCCTGCCCCAGCCCTGGAATTAAGCATTTCTCTGAGGTGTTTTGATTCCTTTTTAATTGGAGAATGGCATTTAGAAACCAAAATCTCAGCTCTAGGTATTCTTGTTGGTATTAGAGAGTCATTGCTTCTAGGTCCTCTCAGTGAACTGAAAAGTACATATTTATGTCTATTTCTTTATTTTTTTCTCTATATTAATAATCTTGAGTTTACATTGATATTTATGGCTCTGTTCCAGCACCATGGAGTTCATTCTGGCCTTCCTCTTTTCATACTTGCAATTCTTTTGACAGTGAGAAAACTGATATTCATTATTCATACTGTATTTACTCAGTCCTAGAATATAAAATTGTTTTAGAATTGCTAACTCATCACTCAATGAAAAACAAACCCATTAACTTACATGTAATATTTGTGTATAGTTGTTTTTATCTTTAACCTCAGAGTATATAGTCAAAATATTGTTTTCCAAAGTTACTTATGATTTTTCTCCCTGAATTCTCCTTTAATGTGGTTTGTTATTCACTTATAAAGCAGGTCTATTCTTTCTGTTCTATTCTTTCTGTTCTGTTCTTTCTGTTCTATACCAAAAAACAAACAAACAAAAAACAAAAAAAAAAACCTCAAAAAGGTGCCACTTCCCACATCTGCTCTACCCTGTTCCCATTTCCCTCATCTTTTCTCCTCTGTCCTGCCCTTATGTGAGATTAATCTCATTAGTTTCTGGTTTAGACTTCCTACATTTTTTTTTTGTTGTTGTTGTTCCTCACAAATATCAGATGTCATTGTATTTTTCCTTCTTTCTTATCAGTGTACCCTGGAAACTGCTTCAGATTAGTTCATAGAGATTAACCTCATTCTTTTTTATGGCTGCATAGCACTCCACTATGTGTTTCTGTCAGTGTTTAGTGAAACAATCTCTTAGGTTTATTTAGTTTCCAATATTTTATCTTTTTTTTTTTTTTTCTGAAACAGAGTCTTGCTCTGTTGCCCAGGCTGGAGGGCAGTGGGATGATCTTGGCTCACTGCAGCCTCTACCTCAACCTCTGGGATTCAAGTGATTCTCCTGCCTCCTGAGCAGCTGAGATTGCAGGCATCTGCCACCACAACTGGCTAAAATTTTGTATTTTTAGTAGAGGTGAGATTTCATCTTGCTCGCCAGGCTGCTCTCAAACTCCTGGCTTCAGTTGATCTCCCCACCTCGGGCCTTCCAGTGTACCAGGATTATAGGTGTTGAGCCACTGCACCTGGCCTCCAGTATTTTGTGATTACAACTGATGATGCAATCAGTAATGTTGTACATGTAAATATTTTCGTTTTCTGGAGATGCATCTTCAGGGTGAATTTCTGAAGTAAATTGGTGGGTCAAAAGGTAAATCATATGCAGTTTTGTTGGATATTGCCAAATTTCCATCCAAGAGAATTATATCACTTTGCATCCTAGTGTAGTTTAATTTGCATTTCTCACATTATAAATGAGATTGAACAATGTTTCATTTGTTTAAGGACCATTTTTACATCATTTTTGTATGAATTGTTTGTTCCTGTCTTTCCCTATTGTACTTGGTTTTTTTGGCCTTTTTTACCTTGCTTAAATTTTTTTTTTTTTAATTAGCTTGCTTTTTAGGAGTTCTTTATATATCAGGATTATGCTGCAGATATTTTCTGTCAGTGTGTGTCAGCAGTCTTTTGAGTTTGCTTCTGTTATTTTTTTGCCGTGCAAAAATTTTTATTATGTAATCAAATTTAATCTGTTATTGCCTCTGGGTATTAAGTCAGAGTTAGTAGTCTCTCCCTGAACTGAAGTTAAAGAGGAATTCACTTCTTTTTGCTTGTATGGTTTCATTTTTTACATTTAGTTCTGTGATCTATTTGAAGTGTATTTTTTTGTATGCTGTGAGGTATGGATTTAATTAGTTTTTTCTAAGTGGCTAATTGTCTCACACTTTTATTAAAAACCTGTCTTTGCCCCAGTGATTCATAATGATACTTTTATTGTATTTTAAATTTCCATATATACTTGGGTATATTTCTGGACTTTCTATTCTGTTTCACTCATCTGGTTGTCTGTTCATGTGCCATTTTACAATTTAAAAAAAAATTTTTTGTTTCAATTTTTATTTAGAGACAGAGTCTGTGTTTGTTGCCCAGGCTGGAGTGCATGATCATTGCTCACTGTAACGTTGAACTCCTGAGCTCAAGCAATCCTCCCTCCTCAGCCTCCCAAGTAGTTGGGACTTTAGGCGCCTGTACCATTATTATGATACTTTAATTATAGAGGCTTTATAGTATGCTTTAATATCTGGTGGTGGTACTCGGTTCTTAGAGTTTTTCTCTCAGTATTTTCCTAGCTAGGATTATATGTTTGTTTTTTCATATCAACTTGAATATTAGTGTCTAGCTCCATAAAAAAGTTTGTTTGCAGTTTTATTGGGATTTCATTAATTTTTTTCCAATATTTGAAAATTGATAAAATACACATAAAAATAAAATCTTGCATCTGAACTAATTTTTTGTTTTATTTTGTTTTGTTTTTTGTTTTTTTATCTTAACTAATTTTAAGTGTACAATTCAGTGGTATTGAATACATTCATATTGTGGAGCCATCATTACCATCCATCTCCAGAGTTCTTTTCACCTTGTAAAACAAACTGCCCATTAAACAATAACCCCCCATTACCCCATCCTCCCAACCCCGCGTAATCACCAGTTCACTTTCTGTCTTTTAGGATTTTTGACTGCTCTACATACCTTTGTAAGTGGAATCAAGCAGTATTTGTCTTTTTTTTTGTTTTTTTGTTTTTTTGGGGGGGTTATTTTACTCAGCATGATGTCTGTTTTTTTTTTTGGACTGGGTTATTTTACTTAGCATGATGTCATTATTATTATTGTTATTATTTTGAGACAGAGTCTCACTCTGTTGCCCAGGTTGGAGTGCATTGGCGTGATCTCAGTTTACTGCAGCCTCCATCTCCTAGGTTCAAGCCATTCTCCTGCCTTAGTCTCCCAAGTAGCTGGGATTAAAGGCGCCTGCTACCAAACCTGGCTAATTTTTGTATTTTTAGTAGAGATGTGGTTTCACCATATTGGCCAGGCTGGTCTCGAACTCCTGACCTCAGGTGATCTGCCCACCTCTGCCTCCTAAAGTACTGAAATTACAGGTGTGAGCCACCATGCTTGACCTAATGTTCATTATTTTCTAAGGCTTAATGATATCTCATTCTGCGTATATACTGTATTTATTGATTTGTTTACAGACACCTGGATTGCTTCCACATTTTAGCTATTAATGATGCTGTTATGAACATGTATGTACAAACATCTCCTTACAACCTTGGTTTCAGTTATTTTGGGTGTATATCCAGAAGAGGAATTACTGGATTATATTGTAATTCTGTTTATAATTTTTTGAGGAACTGCCATTCTGTTTTCTTCAGTGGCTGCACCATTTTAAATTTCCACCAAGAATGTACAAGCCTTCTGATTTCTCCATATCTTCACCAGCACTTATTTCATGTTTTTTAAAAACTTAATTGACACACAATTGTACATGTTTACAGGGTACAGTGTGATATTTTGATTCCTGTATACAGTGTGTAGTGATCAAATCAGGGTAATTAGCATATCCATCACCTCAAACATTTAATGCGTTCTTTCATTTGGGAACATTCAAAATCGTCTCTTCTAGCTCAAATGTACAATAAATTAGTGCTAATTATAGTCAGCCTGTAGTGCTGTAGAACACCAGAAATTATTCTTCCTATCCAATAGTAATTTTGTATTTGTTAACCAACCTGTATCTTCCCTCCTCACTACCCTTACAGCCTCTAGTAACCACTATTATACTCTCTAGTTCTATGAAACAAACTTTTTTAGCTTCCACTTGTGAGAACATGCAGTATATATCTTTGTGTGCCTGACTTACTTAATTAACATATTGTCCTCCATATTGTCCATGTTGCCATGAACGACAGGATTTCATACTTTTTTATGGCTCAGTA